GCATACCACTCCAAAAACAAACAACAACAAAACAAAAAGCCCCCAAAGGGGAGCCTGGGTGGCTCAGTTGGTTAAGCAGTTAAGTGTCTGCCTTCAGCTCAGGTCATGATCCCGGGGTCCTAGGATTGAGCCCCCACATTGGACTCCCGGCTGAGCAGGGAGTCTGCTTCTCCCTCTCCCTCTGCGGCTTCCCCCGCCGTCACTCACTTGTGCTCTCTCTCTCATTCTATCAAATAAGTAAAATCTTAAAGAGAAATAAGTAAGCCCCCCCAAACCCCACGGCACAAGAACAGGTTTTGAGCACAGATTGATGGAGAGGTTGGCACCTTTCCTGGTTGGAGTGCCCAAAGAAACCAGAAACATGATTTCGGTCTGGTTCCTGCTGCTGACGGATCTGTGTTCAACACAGATTTCTAAATGCTATCTTTTACAGAGGAGAAGGCAGAGCTAGTTGGTGACCATGGGGACTGAGCAATTATACTTCTGAATTGTAAATTCTACCCCTTTAATCCCCAGAAAAGTGCAGGAACCAGCACGCTAAAGAATGTGCTACTCTACGGAATGCTACACGCCAGACTCTGGCGTGATTCATCCAAAAGGCAGTTCTCTTGGAAAGATCAGCAAATTAATGCTTCAAGGTCCACTGTGAGATGAATTCCAGGGGAACCACACCCCTTTCCTCCTCTCGTACACAGCCCCAGTGGTTGTCAATGGCAACCCACAGAGCTTAGATGGAGTTGCCCTTGCCTGGATTGTTCTGGAAGTTGAGCAATTTAAGAGAACTGAGCTGAACGAGTCAGGGGAGGGAAGATGTGGGATCCCACTCCAGGTCTGAAATAACTCAGGAAAAGAGTCAGTGACCAGAGGTATTAAAAAAAAAAAACCCTATGTGTCTAAGCTCAGAGAAGCAGGGTTCTTCATAACCGATTCCCAAAGGTGCCGAAATTGGTACTGGTCACCAGACACCCAACTCACCTTCTGCACAGAGCAAAGGGAAGGTGCACTGCAAAGCCAGAGAAGAAAGGGGACATGGCATAGTAAGGACCCCTATAATGGGAGAACAGGCTAATTTAGGAACTTCTAAGGAATATAAGTTTTAAGCAGGAAATCTTGGCGACCCTTGAATATCTTCTTTGAGAGAGTGAGGCCAGTCTAACTCGAGTGAACGCTCAGGTCTCAGATGACTCCAGTCCCCACTCCTACTTGTCCACATTCATTAGGAAGCTTTCTTCTCTGAAGCCACGTGTTCCCCATCTTCCCCTCCCCATCGCTGTTTTATTTAACAAATGGGCCGTAAGAACAGCAGCCAGCCGACTCCCTATTTGTCAGGTAGACCTTTGAAATAAGAATGCAGAACACTGACTAGCCAGGAATCTGAGTTCATGGAGGTGAATGGCTTTGATAAGCAGAGGAGATGCCCACGGTCTCATCAGGAACCAGTGCCCAGAGAGTAATGAGCAGGGCTACGAGCAAATTATTGTTTTGAAGGCGGAGCCAGAGCATTGGTTTTCAAGTAAGATGAAGGAAAAGGGGCAAAAGTTGTGATTAGAACTGTTCTCTTAGCTAGTGGATGAGTCACGGAGCTCTTCTTCCCCAATGCAGCTGCTGCCCCACTGAGTCAGTAGCTCTCCTGTCTTGGGTGGGGCAGGCTGCAGGGCTGACCATTGGTACTAGAGGAGCAAGTTCAGGGACCTGAATCTGGCGCTTCCATCTCCCCAAACACACAACACACTCCGTTCCATTTTCACTGGGGCCAAGAGGGGGCAGCATCCTGCGTACCCAGGACAACCTAGCTTTGCACCTGAAACACTCAAACCATTTAATTTTTCACCTGTCTATCTCCCTCTCAGATTTAAGATCCTCCAGGGGAAGAACTGTGAATTATTCTGTTCTATGAACTGCAAGATAAGCGTTTGCAAAATGAATGAATGAATCAATCAGACAAGCCCCTTGGCAGGACCTGAAGTGCAGGTGTGACCACCCGGGTTTGCACTGAAACCCTTGTAGTTCAGAGCTCGGCAGAAGGATGTGAAGCTGGGGTGAAGTGGGGAAGCGGCCCACAGGGGCTGCCTGTGAATGGGAATAGTAGGGTACAGACAAAAGCACATTCCGTGAGCGCAGGGAAAAAAAAAAAACGTGTCCTGCTAAACAGGTCTGGCCAGACCCTGAACATGACTTCTCTTTCTCTTCTCACTCCTGCTGTTTTCTTGTGTTTTGGTTCACACTGTGCACTCCACAGGCTGTAACTACCTCATCGTTCTTGCATTTTTTTATTGAGTCATTTTATTCTGATGTCTGTGTGTCCTCCCTACCTGTTTGCCTGGGTAAGAGGTCTTTACAATGGAGGCTCAGAACTCTAGTTTTTCTCTGTGCAGTTCTCTCTACAGAAAAGAACCCTGAACTCCACAAATTTAGTCACAGTGGTGGGAATTACATTTTCCATTTCTGGTCCTCCTACACTGAGCACCTGCTGTGCACGTCCCTGACGTTAGGCTGGTGTGCACATTCACACATATACACACACACACACACACACACACACACACGCACTTTCTCTCTCTCTCTCTCTCTGGTGCTTGCCTTTGGGGAGTTCACCAGCTAATGGCATACTGTTTAAAAATATATTCTGAATTCTAGCTAATTGTATTTCTGATTCTTTCCCCACTAGATTGTGGGTTCCTTAAGCAGCCTGCCCTCCCACAGCCTGCTCAATGGAGTGGTAAGAATGAGTGACAATAATGTACATTTCGGTTCTCCTGGGAGTAGCAGGGAGCAGGAGGCCTCCTTAGAAAAGTGTCTATTCCTGAGTGATCCCAAATGTTTGCTCTGGACCCATGCCCAGATCCAGACCGTAATTTCAAAAAGGACGCTTCTAAAGAGCAAGAGGGCTGATTTACTTTGCTCTTCTGTGTCTTGTCCATACTCTAGTTTTTTTACAGCCCACCCAGAAAATAATTGGCAGGGTGTGTGTCAAAACAAACATCTGTTATTTAAAAATGTGTTTGAGGTTTCCTTCCTTCTGCTTTGGAGATTTTGAAAAGAAAAGAAAAGAAACCTTTTTCTTTCTTTCTTTCTTTCTTTTTTTTTTTTTTTTAATTGAACACAGAAGGTATTTTTGAATTTGATCCCTAAAAAGAATTCAGAAAAAATGAGTTGAGGCAACGGATCTGGATCCAGGCTCTCTCTCCTGCCTCTCCTCAAACATAAAACTTGCTCATCAAAAACGTGGGCAGTGAAGAAAAAGCTCCAGATGCAAGAAGAACTCAGAAGCCCTCTCTACCCCAGTGGAGCATGTTCACCTTTCCTGGAAGATCTGTCAGACATCAGCCTGAACTGGCAAAGGGTAGCCATTGTGACAGTGCTGTTAAACCCATTGGTGGGTTGAATGGTAGTTATTTAGTGAAGGGGTAGGAAGTGCTGAAAATTGTTAAAAAATAAGCAAATTCATTCTTTTTGTTTTTGATATGAGATTCCTAAATTGTTGAGTCTTCAGGAAAATGAAAAGCTTAAGAAAGATGCTAAGCCTTCATTCCAGCTTTCCCAGCACTCAGAGTGCTAACTTACACATCAAAACCCTGAAAAGATTCCATTGTTTTCCTCAACTTTGAACTATTGGGCTTTATCCAAGGGCATACCAAGTGGGCAGTGCTCTAAAAAAGCCACATTTTTGGAACTCTCATTGGAAAGCAGGGAGGCACCCAGTCTTAGCTCCACCAGGCCCAAGGGCTGACTTCACTGGGGCGGCTGCTTGAGATACTGGTCAAAGGCCAGACTCGGGAGGAAAAGGGCCCATCCTATACTGTTTGCAAAAAAAGCCAGGGCAGAGCACCATCTAAAAATCAGCATACTTTATGGCCAGGATATCCTCAAGAAAACGTGAAGAACTGAAATAATAAACTTCAAATGGGTCAAGGACCACGATGAAGAAAGTAGCTTCTGGCTGTCAAGGAAGGCATATATGCCATCCAGGAGAGACAAGAAATAGAAACAGGTTAGGAATCTGTGGGGGCCGGGCTGATGAAGAAATTTCCCATGAGTTATATGAACTCATTTCTGCCTCAGCCTCTGGTATTATCTTTTGCAATCTGCTGGAACATGTTGGAGGCAAAGATCACTGTCTGGGTGTTTTCCATGAGCCTGGTCTCCCCTGAAGTGCAGGGTATAAAGAGCCACTGCAGCAGTCTGAAACTCAAGCTGCAGAGCTGGGGGGTGGAAACCTACAGCCGCTGCTAAAAACATCTTAACGGGAAGAGCTACCTCACAAGTAAAGCTGGGGCAGCCTGCCAGCAGGCATGCCGGCCAATCACCCAACAGGGGTGCGTCTCACCTTGGCCTTGCCAATCCAGTTGCTGCCCTCACCCACAGTTCAGTCCAGAAACCTCTCCTTCAGATAGCTGGCCAGTCCTGGTGTGACTCACTTCCTCTTGGAAAATGCCCTCTGAGATGGCACAGTTCCCCTTCTTCGGGAAGTCTTCTGTCCGAACCATCTGCACAGACTATCTGGAACCACTGCGGCCACACCCGCATGGTCTCACAGCTGAGTCACGGGCCTGCTCTAGGAGAATCTGGGAGCCCTTTGTGCTCACCAGGCCCTGCATGATGCTCCCAGCTCCCCTTGAGAGGGAAGGGGAGGTGGACTTGATGTATTTCAGGGTCTGGCCTAGGGCTCTGCTCTGCCTAGCTTGTAGCTGCTCGGCTTTCCTTAGCTTTCCTCACCAGCCCCAACCACCCACCTTTGCAGAGTCTCGGTTTCAATCAGGTAGTCTAAATGGACAGTTAGCAGTGTCCAGGGCTGGAGGAAGCCGCATTCCTTTGGCTAAGCTCAAGTTGTGACCCGGTACCAAGGGCAAGTTTATCTCTGCTCATGCACCGGGCCAGATTAATCTGGGCTGGAAGGTCTTTCATCAAGGCCGCTCTTCCCTTCTTTATAGTTCCACTTGTTTAATGAGGATTGCAAGAAGGGAATCCTTTCAGTAGGGAAATCCCTTCCTATATTCTCCTCTCCGCCACCGCCGGCTAGCCAAGCTTTGTTACGAAAACAAATAGACCTACACACAAACAACAGGAAGCCCAACCTGCAGCATCTGGGCGAGGGACTGAGCAGTGCCCTTTAGGAAGCTGCCAACCTGTCCAGCTCGGTCCGTGTATCTCAGAGGAGGAGACCACACACATCTGGCCAGAGGTCAGCCTGCAGCTCGAGCCCACAGAGAAACATGTCAGCCGGGAAGGGGCGAGAAGCGGGATTTCGGATAACTCGGGAGACTGGTGGAAAAGTAGGAAAAGTGGCAGTAAGGAGCAACGGAAAGGGAGGAGAGGTCAGAGGCCCCGGGGCGCCCACACCGCGGACCGGGAATAAAGGAAGAGCGCCCCTCCTCCATTCCGTGAGGATCGGGGCAGGGGCGCTGCCCGCTTCGCCGGGGTGTGGCCCAGGGCGCTGAGAAGTGGACAGCTAGCAGCCGCCGGCGCCCGGAACACCGCGCGAGCCCCGACAGCCGACTGGGGGCTTCCCCAGGCGCCAGGTCCGGGCTGGGGGCGGCCCGGGAGCGGCGGGCGGAACTCACCTTGGCCGGAGGCGCACAGGGACGATTGGCTGGCTGGGACGCGCGGCCAGTGAGCGGTACGCGGCGCTCTGGGAGCCTTAGTAAGGGGCGGGGGTTGGCAGGGGGAGGGGGAGGCAGGAGGAGCCTGGGCCGGTGTCCCGGGCGCGCTCACCCCACCCCTTCACCCCACCCTCCTCTTCCTGTTACCCCCCCCCCACCCCAACCCGGCGCAGGCACACGCCCTCCCGGCGGTGCCGCAGCGCCCCGGACTCCGCCCGCTCTCACCTCGCCTGAGAGCGTTCTTGTGAACGTGTTTTCCTACTCCAGGGCTCTTGGATAGTTCAGGGCATCCCCACCCTGGGCCGTGCCCTTCCTCTCGGGTTTGGTTTTAGAGTGAGCGCGCGAGGAAATCAAAGAATCCAGCCGTTCTGCGGGTGGGGTGCGCTGGCCCAGAACCACATGTAGGCGGCTCTTCGGTAACCTACAGGTCTAGGAATTAGTTTCTAGATGGTTCCGCAGGGAGGGAGGGACACGTGGAGCCCAAACGACAGCCAAGGCGTTGTATTTGCAGATTAGGCCCAGGACTGCAGTCCGGAGGGTCTCCTTGGCCTGTGCCCGTGGCAGCCCACATCTGGCGGAGAAGCCGGTTCCCTGCTTGGCACCTGCCCTGCAGAGTGGGGGATGGAGGGTGCTGTTGGCTTGTCGGCTCCCACACAGGCCCCTTGTTGGACAAGGGATTGACCCCTCAGTGTGTATGGCTTCACGTGGTGTATAGTTGAGCTTCAGTTGTAGGTAACATCGTTAAGACCAAGGTTTCTAGCCTCCTTTTTGTCCTGCAATCGGCCTGTTTGGTTCTCGGAGCCCTTTTTAAGAAGTTTCTGGAAGAAGTTTAGAGAAAACCTAAGGGTTTCTAGTGGATGCACAGTGTTTCCTTCCTACCCCCATTTCTTTTAACTGCTGTTTAGGGTTAAATGCAAACTACTAGCAGCTGTTGGTGGAAAAGGGCCCACTCCCAAGTCCTGGGTTTTCCTTTGTTCCCAGGGGAGGTCCTGGGAGGAGTGGAGTGAGTGATCCTAAAGGAATGAACAGACTCGGGGAATCCTCCAAGTGCTACCATGTGACTATTCTTGGCTCTTGCTAGGAAAACCCAATTTGAATTTCAATTCTCACTCACACTGGGTTCCTGCAACCCTGGTGGGGACTGTTCAGGGGGGAGTTCTTCAAAATTTTGCCATATACTTTCTTTTTCCCAGACCCCAAGTTTTAGTCAAGAATGGAGAAACACACACACACATATTTCTAAGTTGGGGATTTGCAGGAAGGGAGGGGGACTTAAAAAAATTGAACCCAAATTCTCAAATTTGGTCCCTAAAGTAAATTCAGGAAAAAGGCAATGGATCTGGATCCAGGCTCTCTCTCCTATTTCTCCCCAAACATAAAACTTGTTCACCAAAGAAGTGGGTGGCAAAGAAAAAGCTCCAGATGCACGAAGAAAGAACTCCGAAGCCTTCTCTACCCCAGTGGAGCACATCCACTTTTCCTTGAAGAGTTGTCAGCCATCAGCCTGAACTGGAAAAGGGTAGCCATTGTGACAGTGCTGTTAAATCCACTTGGTGGGTTGGGTGGTAGTAATTTAGTGAAGGGATAGGAAGCACGGAAAATTATCAAAAATAAGTAAAAAAAAAATTTTTTTTTTGCTTTTGATGTGAGATTTCTAAATTGTGATCACACTGATTATAGAATTATGTGTTCTATTTTTGTTTCATAATACTTTATTTTCCTTCCTTCCTTTTCTTCCTTCCTTCTCTCTTTCTTTTTTTTTCTTTTTACTATTTTCTGTCATTATTTATCAAGAACATGCTTATTCATTTACTCATTCTTTTTTTTTTTAACCCCTATTCATCTACACTGTAGCTTCTCTACTCTCTTCTTCTGGTTGCTGGTGCCAGAAGCTGAGGCCTTCCAGTTCCTAGTAGCTTTGGCTCCAAAGATGGAGGGAACCGCGTTTCTGAAACCCTGTGAAGTGCTGAGAATGCAGTGGTGAAAATGGTCAGTAGGATGGCCATTATCTCTGTCTTTGTGAAGCTTCTTATGTTTTTGTACTGGAAGGTCCATAAAGTCCCAAGTGTCTGCCACGCTTATATTCTCCCTCTAGAAGATGTTGTGCCAGGCAGTTCTTCCTTTTTTTTCTTTCTAAATATTTTGTTTATTTATTTGATGGGGAGAGAGAGAGAGAACGTGCACACAAGCGGCAGGGGTGGGGGGTGAGGAGCAGAGGGAGAGGGAGAAGCAGGCTACCCCCTGAGTCAGAAGCCCGAAGCAGGGCTGTATCACAGGACCCTGTGATCATGACCTGAGCTGAAGGCAGATGCACAACCAACCGGATGAGTCACCCAGGTGCCCCAGACAGTTCTTTCTTGAGAAAGTAGATAGGCCTTGTAAACCATATGCATACAGTGAAGCCACCTCAGTTTCCCTAGTGACAACCAACGGGATCAGGCAGCAGTGCCTGAGCCAGAGCTGCTCAGCCAGGATGGTAGAGTAGCAGCAGGAAGGGGAGCTGCGCAGAATGGAAAAGACAGAATGGCCCTGTGAAAATCAAAGAAAATCTTGTTTAAAATGGAGTCAGGAAGCCAGCAGGGGGAGCTCTCATGCCCTAGCACTCATTAAAGGCAGACCCAACAGGAAGAGAGGGACATTGCAGGTGGATACTACTTTACTATTCAGGAGGGAGGGAGGAAGGCTTTCTAGCACAATCCAGCCAATGAGAGACTGTCACAACCCAGCCAATGAAAAGCCACTACCCTTCACATTCCTAGTTTACTTGAATGGACTTGATGTTTGTAACAGTGCCGGTGAACTTCCAATTTCCTTTATAAAAGAACAGTCCTCCTTTGTTCTTCTGACTTGTCTACGTTTGCTTGTCCCAGTTTGTAATTCTCTGCTGTGCCCAAATAAACCCATATTTGCTGGTAAAATAACTGGCAGTTTTATTTTTTAGATTAACAGCCATCCAAGGAATGGGAACAGGGGCCTGACTCAGTGTGGTCCCTGGAGTGAACAGAAGGCAATGTTGAAGCTCTCCACCAGGTCTATGGTATGTTCTAGTATACTAAATGCTAGGGGCAGAGGGCATTGTTCCACTACTGAGGCAGCAATGGGAGTTGTTCCTCTTCTCCGCGTGGAAACAAAACCTGTCACTTGGTGGTTCTTAACTTTTTGAGGTTTGTAGTTAGAGCCCAGAGGGCGGCCTGTTCACTAGAAATGTGTTCTTCCCGTCAGCTGGCTGTGGCTGCTCAGCCAGGAATTGGGATCCCAGCACCTGTTGCACTCAAGTGGTACTCTGATTAGTCACCTGCTGAATGGAACTGGCCGTGATGTGTGTCACTTGCAGATGAAATTAGTTAAGAGGTGACTTTACATGAGAGACTATGGACTCTGAAAAACAATCTGAGGGGTTTGAAGCGGCGGGGGGTGGGAGGTTGGGGGAATCACGTGGTGGGTATTGGAGAGGGCACGGATTGCATGGAGCACTGGGTGTGGTGCAAAAACAAGGAATACTGTTATGCTGAAAAAAATTAAATTAAAAAAAAAAGAGGTGACTTTACCACATTTTTTTCTTCCCATTTGCTAGATGCTGAGGCTTTAGGGGGTCGGAAGGAGCCTGAGTTACTGAATCACTGAGTAGAGGAAAACCACCTGCAAACTAGGCCCAGCTTCACTGGAACAGTTATGTAGGTGAGAAAGAAAACTGGAATTTGGGGGTTTACCTGTTACCACATAACCCTAACAGATAGAATGGCATTCTTTTGTGTGCCAGAAATTTTGGTAGCATGCTCATGAAGTCAGGAGTTGAAGAATTACACTGTTACACTGATCACACATCAGCATGGTGGCATGTTTTCGTGGAACTGGCTCTCCTCCCTGAGAATCTCTTGGGTCCTCAGAAGGCATGGTGCTCCCAGGTCTGGCAAAAACGTACACCTTTTTTGTCTCTTCCTGTGCATCAAGTTGTGCCTGTAGCTCACAGAAACTATGTGCAGCCTAGCTCTGTTTGCAGGGAAACTCTGTTACTGTTGTGAATCATAATTGTAGCAAAAGAAAATTTGACCTGTCAGTGAGGGAGCCCTGGTAAGGAGTCACCGCAGTCCGTGGTACTTCAGTTGAAAAGCACGGATTTACAGTTGTCTGGTCAAGACTGGTTGATGGCAATCCAGAAAACAAAACGAAACAACCACCACCCAAGTGTGGTACACTGTAAATAGGGCAAAGCATTATTAAACCTTTCCCATATTTTTTGAACATTTAGGTTGTTACCAGTTTTTTTTTTTTTTACTGCCATACATTATAATGATATACAATAGGACTACTTTTGAATAAACACCTTTGCCCATCTGTTTATTTGCTTGTATAGATTTCTCTCAGAAATCTTAAAGGACAAGTAGGGCTTAGATTGTGTGGGTGTGGACAGGAGGGAAAAACATGTGCTAGAGCATGGAATCCTGGAGTGAGTGCTTCTATCCTAGGAATTGCTCCAGTCCAGAGAGGAAAGCCTGGGGCACCTGAGATACTCTTCTAAGGGGTTTGGAGCTTGTTTTTGAAGGTAACAGGGAGTTGCTGAAGAATGTTAAAGGAGTGTGAGCTGATATCCCACTTTCCAGCACCAGGCTCTGGATCATCACACCACTGTGAACTTGAGTCTCCCTCTGGGCAAAATAGGGGTAGACACTGATCTTCTGTGTTGACAGAAAAAAATGAAGCAGCGAGTGACCATGAAGGCACCCAGCTCTGCCCAGCAGGCAGCAGGTTCTGCACAGTGGATCTAGCTTCTGTGTGGTTCCCCCTCTGTGAGACAGAACCTCTCGGGAGGTCAAGCACGCCTGTTCTGTGGGCAAACACCTTTGAGCAGGCTTCACTCCAGGGCCCCGGAGGGTTGAATAGAGGCTGTATTTGCTGTGCTAACTTGTCTCCTGGGGCAGCAAAAGTTGAAAGACTGTAGCTTGCCTGTCGTCCTCCCTCCCTTCCTTTAAACACTGAACTCTTGGGGCACCTGGGTGGCTCAGATGATTACATGTCTGCCTGTGGCTCAGGTTGTGATCCCCAAGGTCCTGGGTTTAAGCCCTATGTCGAGCTCCCTGTTTAGTGGGGGATCTGTTTCTCCCCTCTGTCTGCCTCTTTCTTTCTTTCTCTCTCTCTCTCAAATAAATAAAATCTTAACAACAACAACAACAATGACACCGAACTCTTAGCTTGGGTTTGGAAACTACCTGCTTCTTCTATAGCTGAACTGCACATTCTAATGATTATAATTAATCAGATATGTACTGAGCACCTTCTTCTTCTTCTCCTCCCCCTCCCCCACTACCCCCTCTGCCCTCTCCCCCTCCTCTTCCTCCTCCTTCTTCTTTTAACTGAGCACTTTCTGGTACCTGGTATGGTCTGGGTACTGTGGCTATGTCAATGCCCAAGACAGAAAAATTTCCAAGGCCTTACATTCTAGTGGGAAAGACAAACAGAATACAAGCAAAGGAGATAACTAAACTAATATAAAAATTGTGGTAGGTTGTAATGAGGGCCATGATGGGAAAAACAAGAGTCTGAATGAGAGAAAGATTAAAGGGGACATGTTTTAGGTAAAAAGTCAGGGAAGAGGGACACCTGGGTGGCTCAGTTTGGTTAAGTGTTTGGCTTCAGCTCAGGTCATGATCCCAGGACCTTGGGATGGAGTCCCTCATCAGGCTCCTTGCTCAGTGGAGAGCCTGCTTCTCCCTCTGCCTGCAGCTCCCCCTGCTTGCTCTCTCTCTCTGACAAATAAATAAAATCTTTAAAAAAAATTAAAAAGTCATGGAAGAGTATACTGAAGACATAGAGGAAGAGAAGGAACTAGGGTTGCAAATAGAACAGGGCCTAGGAGGAAGCTTTCCCTGTGGAGGGAAAAGCAAGTGCAGAGACTGGGAGATTGGCAGGGGAATTGAAAAGCCATGGGTGTGCTTGCAGCATGGTGGAGAGCAGAGGGGAGGGTGATAGGACTTGAGGTGAAGGCACAATCTGCTGTGTTTTAACATGGTGATTATGAGCACAGAATTGAGGTAAATCCTAGTTTCTGTGCCTCTCTTTAGCCATGTGATCTCACACATGTTACCTAACCTTTCCAAACTTTAGTTTTCTCATTTGGGGAAGGGACTTGATCTTAGTACCTGCCTCACGGGGATGTCATGAATATAAATGAAAAAATGCTTGCAAATGCTTAGCTGAGTGCCTGACATATAGTAAGTGCCACACTAAGTTAACCATAATTATTATTAAGTGGCTGGTGGGTTGGGCTGGATGAGACTGTATAGAATCCTGGCTGTGCTGGATTGCTTTGTGCCATGGGCAGGTAAGTCTCTATGCTTTCTGTTTCCTCATTTATAAAATTCCTTAAATTCCTATCCTGGGGGGGTTAATTATTATGGGAATTATATGAGGTGATTTATGTGAAGTCATCCTGATGGTAGGAACCAACCCCTCAAGGTCTTATACTTATTACTATTTTTTAAAAAGATTTTATTTGAAAAAGAGAGAGAGAGAGAAAGAGATTGAGAGAGAGAGAGAATATGTGAGCACAGAGGGAGAGGGAGAAGCAGACTCCCTACAGAGAGCTGGACAAAGGGCTCCATCCCAGGACCCCGAGATCATGACCTGAGTTGAAGGCAGATGCTTAATCCACTGAGCCACCCAGGTGCCCCAGGTCTTATAATTATTTAAAAATGTTTTCCTGGATATTCTACTCTCTTAGCAACGCTCCAAAAGAGACAATCAAAACCTGAATGAAAATTTGTTATAAGTTTGTGAATCTGGGGCACCTGCGTGGCACAGTCCGTTCGGCTTCTGAGTCTTGGTTTTGGCTCAGGTGGTGATCTCAGGGTCATGAGCTCAGGGTGGCGAGATCGAACCCTAGGTCAGGCTCTGGGCTCAGCGCAGTCTGCTTAAGATTCTCTCTCTCTCTCCTCTGCCCCCTCCCCTTTTTCTCTCTCAAATAAATACCCCCCCCCAAAAAAGTTTGTGAATCCATTTGTGTTATGGATTGAGGTGGCTAAAAAAGAAAAATCTGGGAACTTTAGCTCCATTTTTCTCATCACCAGAGATCCCGATTTCCCTGGTCTCTTGCAAGGAGGGAGAAAAAAGACCGCGTACTTTGAGTTAGGTAATAGAACACCAGCTTGTCTGAACTCCAGGAATGCTTGGTGCTGGGGGCAGACTCTGCAGGGGAGGAGCTGCTTCTTGTGGGCTGTAATCTGCCAGCCTCAGATGCGGTTCCTTTTCCTTTATTAACCCTTGAGAGCAGGCAGAAGTTCTGTGGGCTGTACAGAAAAAAGTTGTTTAAACCACAGAGACTGTGCTCATTGGTGACACTGGAATGTGGCTGGGGAGGGCTCAGACCTATGGGGCCCTGGTGAGTCAAACCCTTTGTAAAAAGCTGGCTGCTTGGGGGGGCGGGGGGGGCTGGTGGCACAGTCGGAAACCTGCTTGGTTTCGGCTGGCTCAGGTCAGTGATCTCTAAGGTGGGGGTGGGGGTATGTGATCTAGAGATTGTGAGATAGAGCCCGGCCTCAGGCTCAGAGCTCCGCTGAGAAGTCCGCTAAAATTTCTCTCTCCCTCTCCCTGCCCCTCCCCGCCTGAGTTCTCAGTCTCTTTCAAATAAATAAATAAATCCTAAATCTTAAAAGAAAGAAAGAAAAAAGAAAAGAAAAAGAACGGGCTGCTTTGTCAGAACCGATACCTCCACAGCGTCAGCCAGCAGCTAACTCTGGAGGTTCCTGGCAATCCTGTTTCCGGTCTGGAAGCAAGGGGCCGCTGCCTAGAGGCGCCCTCAGCGATTTGCGCAGGGAGAGGGTGTGTCCTTGCTTCCTACCTAATGCTGTGGGACCCTCTAGTGGCTGCGGAGTGAGTAGCTCTGCTGTGCTGCTTGTTTTCTTGGGCGTGGCCCCAGTAGGCTAAGGGGCAGGAAACCTTGCTCCAGGCGCCCCAGGAGTGAATATGGGGCAGGCAAATTTACCTAGCTGGTTTGTGATGGAGGCTGTGATTTAGGTTGGCACCCTGCCCTATTCGCGCATGCCTTTGGTAGCATATCTCAGGTCTTGGGCAGTGGGAATAGGAATTTTCCATGTATAAGAGGCAAAAAACCAGAAAAACAAACAACAAACAAAAAATGAAAGTAGATATTTATTTTACTTTATTATTTTTTTAAAAAAGATTTTATTTATTTATTTGTCAGAGAGAGAGAATGAGCACAAGCAGGGAGAGTGGCAGGCAGAGGCAGAAGCACTCTCCCTGCTTAGCAGGGAGCCTGATGCAGGACTCGATCCCAGGACTCTGGAATCACAATCCAAGCTGGAGACAGACGCTTAATGGACTGAGCCAGTCAGGTGTCCCAAAAGTAGAGATTTAGGTTAAAGTAGTGCTTGGTGCCATAGGGATCAAAACCTCAAATAGGGCATAGAATTCAACCAATTTTATTGGCTGGCTTTTAAGTAAATTCATTTTAACAGCTTTGAGCAAGATATGTTGAAATTCAGAGTGCCTAGTTATTGGAGAATGTGTTTGCTGATAATCAAGAGGGGCATCTTTGAGGTCTATACTGGTCATATTGTAAGAACAGAAATGTAATCCAAGTTCCTCTTATTAAAAATTGACATAATAAGGATGCCTTGGTAGCTTAGTCGGTTAAGCTTCTGCCCTTGGCTCAGGTCATGATCCCACAGTCCTTGGATTGAGTCCTGCACTGGGCTACTTGCTTGGCAGGGAGCCTACTTCTCTTTCTGCTTGCTACTACCCTTGCTTGTGCTCGTGCTCATGCTCTCTCTCTCTGACAAATAAATAAGATCTTAAAAAAAATTGACATGATAATTTTATAGTCTGCAATACTCTAACTTATTTGTTCCGTGTAGTCACCTCAAGAAGTATTTCAGATTGATTGTTACGGTCATTGTAAATCACTGTGGTTTGCATATATTATCTCTAGTCTCCCAGACTGCCTGTATGATAGAGGTTAAGTCTGTTTGCAGAGGAGGAGCAGAAGCTCAGAGAGATTAAGTAATTTACCTAAGGGCATATTATGGCCCTATCAGAACCCACACTAAGCCTAGTTTCAAAATCTCTCTCTTGCCACCACCCCTCTTTGCCTTTCTTTGGATAGAGCAACAACGAGGACAGCTAGCTGCCTCGGATTATAACCAGAATCTAGGCAGAAACATGAGCAGCTCTGATAGGAGGTCCCATATGTGGCCAGTGTTGCACAAGTGTAGACAGTAGACCAGGAGGATTCAGAGCATAGGCTCCCTATCGGCTAGGACCCTTAGGAATAACTTCATGGGAGAGACACAGGGTGTGTAGTGAGCCTTGAAGGCTGGGTGCTCTTCCCTCTGATAGACATTGATGTGGC